AAAGCTAAAACAAATAAACAAATTAACACAAGCCAAGTTTTCTCACCCAAACTGCTTTAGTACGAACAAAGTTTGAGAATTGCAGTCCTTGGTGGTGTCTTGACGTTGTGGTTCCTTTCCCCTGCAATGGGAACCCATCTCGACTTGGCTTCCAACTTCCAATTTTTAGGTCTAGGCAAATACACTTCCCATGCAACTTATAACAATAAAGGGCGAATATGACCATGTATAACAATGATGACAAATAAAAACAGGGTATACCTTCTTTCTTTTACCTTACCAACTCTAGGAAGTTTGAGAAGTCCATCCTTATGTTGAATTTTTTGTTCTCCCTTTTCTTGAGTTCTTGTATCATAAGATGTTGATGCACTCTGTTTTTGCTCTTTCTTACCACCAAAGCCAATGCCACTCTTGTCACAACTTATTTGTTGAGACCCAATGATATTGTCCAAAGTCTTTCATCCTTTGTTCCAAAGACCAATGGTAGCCATAGCACACTTGAGTTCTTCCTCTTTCTTGATCATTAGTTCTTCCAAAGCAACTTGTGACATCTCGAGAGATTCAATCTTTTCTTCATACATAGCATGGGTTTGCAGTAGCTCATGCTTTTCTGTCTCACAAGTCAACAGTTTTGCACAAAGAACTTGTCGATCATCAGCTACCTTAATGGCATTAATCCTGGCCTCGGAAATCTCCTCCTTAAGTTTGACATTCTCACTTTCACATGTTTTGAGTTTCTTTGTGAGTTTGTCATTCAATTTGAATAAGTTAAGAGACTCCTTATACAACTTTTCATAAGCTTGCTCAAGCTCTTCATCATCACTTCTCGAGGATTCATCATCAGTGGCATTCTCAACTAGGCTCTTCGGAGACTCTGTTCATCCTTCAATTTTAGAAGCCACCATGAAAGAAAGGAACTGTTTGTGTCTCTCTTCACCTTGATCTTCATTGTCACTTTCATCTTCATCAGATTCTGATTCATCATCCTAAATGATAGTGAGGGCTCTCTTCTTCTTCAAACGAGTAGGGCATTTATAAGCAAAGTGGCCAAATCCTTGGCATTGATAGCATTGGAATTTCCTTTCTCCTTCTTGGCTATAAAATTAATTTTGAGTTTATCTTTGCCTTTAGATTTATGAGTATGAGTAGATTCCAAAAGATTAGGATTCTTTTTCAAAATTTTTTTTTTAAATTGTTTAACAAAAGCAGCCGTAATCTTGGAATCTATCTCACAATCCTCATCAGAATCCTTTCCAACTCTATGAGCACTACTAAAAGCAATATCTTTTTGTTTCTTTTTGAAATTCCTATGTGCCTCATAAGTTTGGAGATTTCCAACCAACTGATCCAGCTTGAGGTTGTCAATATCTTGAGCCTCCTCAATAGCCATAACTTTTGGTTGGAACCGATCGGGCAAGGATCTCAAAATTTTTCCCACAACTTTGGATTCTGGTATTTTTTTCACCTAAATTGAAGCTGGAATTTACAATGTCACTCAATTTCGCATAAAATTCATCAAAGGTCTCACTATCTTTTATTGAAAGGTTTTCGAAACTAGATGTGAGCCTTTGAAGTTTTGAGCGTTTCACCGAAGGAGTGCCTTCATGAATAGTTTGTAAGATATCCCAAGCCTCTTTTGCGACTTCACAATTACAAATACGACTAAACTCTTCAGGTATGACAGCGCAAAAGAGAGAATTGATAGCTTTACTATTCTAGCTACTATTTTGGTAATTAATTGTGTCCCACTTATCAATTGGTTTGGGGAAAATTACTCCATCAACGGTAATTGTTGGTTCGGTCCATCCATTCATGACATATTGCCAAACTTTTTCATTTATAGATTTCAAAAACGATCTCTTTCGAGCTTTCCAAAAAGAATAATTGGATCCGTCAAGTAGGGGTGGTTAAACCATAGAATTTCCCTCACAAATTGAATTTATTATCACAAATCAAACAAGATCTCGTTCTAAAAGAATTTTTTTTTAAAAAAATAGAACGACCTACTTTGATACCAATTGAAAAATCTAGAAATCCCTTAGATGTTGATTTGTGATTATGTATCAATTTTAAGCAATATATAACAATCCCAATCAAACAATCAAGACAAATCGACACAACGATTTTACGTAAAAAAACCCACAATTGCACACCTCCAATTGTGATAAAAAAATCACGGGCAACAGCCACAAAACAATCCACTAAAAAGATATAAAGGAATTACACAGGTATACTCTCAATTACCTAGCGAATCCACGCCCGAATTGAACCAACCTCTATCTGTGTCTTCCAACCCCGTCTTCACCTTGGAATTGTCTTAACGATGAGCCACTCCGGAATCCACCAAAGCTTCAGGCTCGAATTCTTCAGAATCCACTGAAGAACAACTCTCTCTTTTGTGTAGAATAAACAAACAAACCTTTGATGTATGCTTCTTAAACCATGAGTTGAATACTCAATGAAAACATCCAAGAAAACGAGCAAAATATCCCCAGATATAAACCTTAGAATCCAAAAAGAAGATCTAGAGAAGTTGTCCAAGTTTTGGAAGAAAACCAACTACTTATAGAAATCCAAAATAATCCTAGTTTTGGAAGAAAACCAATTCCTTATAGAAATCCAAGAATCTGTGTTCGCGCGGTCCGCTCGAGCGTGGAGGCTTCAAAATTGTGTGATTCATATAGGCTTCACGCCCGAGCAGAAGTTTCCACGCTCGGGCGTCGAATCACACCATCCAGTACTTTTTCAGGCGAAACAGAGATATTGTGAGCTTGCAATCCCCGCTCGAGCGTCAATTTCCCCGCTCGAGCTGGACGACCAAAATTGAAAAATCTGGAAAACTAGATCCTGTTACAACCTCGGTTTTGATCTATGGAAATTGACAATAGCACGATTCGGGTTGGATTCGCATCTAATTAACTCATAGCCTCACTGAAATAAAAGGTGCGAAAACAAATACAACTAAAAGGAGTTTTGTCAAACGGGGTTGCCAAGAATAAAACCTAATAGTAAAAAATCGTATAATGGAAACTATGCAATTGCATCTTTTTTTTTTTTTTTGTTTAGAAGAAATATGTTATTTAAGAAAGCTAAACGGCACTTACAAGAGTCCAAACAACCCAAAACTTACACCAAACAAAGTGAAAATAAAGCAAGAAGCACTAAGGAAGAAAACTATGAAAATATTCAGACGTATATATCGTACTTGTGCTCGTACTGTGAAGCAGAGCCGATCATAAAAGTTTGGCAATAGAGCATGTCCGAAAAAAATCATAGATCCCAACCACAATGAGGGTAAGCTTAACAAATCGCACAGATGGACTCTAAGAGAACCAAACCAACCCAAAACCAACACAAACCATAGGAAAAAAACTTAGGACTAAACCAAACAAACAAAGCAAAACTGACCCACACCTAAACAAATCCGGCAGCGGCTTCGGCGGATCTGGCGGTGGAGAAGAACGGCGATGAAGAGGTAGTGGAGAAGAGGCGATGCAGGCGGCGGGAGAGGCGGAGAAAAGGTGATGAAGGCTGCGGGGGAGGCGAATCCGGCGTCGGCAAAACAAGCTATGGAGAAGACGATGAGGAAGAGGCGGTGAAGGTAGCAGAGAAGGTGCGGATCCAAGTAGGCCACTCCCGGAATGGATAGATGTGGAAAAAAAAACACCTCACAAAAGGAGGGAGAGAATGGAAAGCCAAGCTTCCAAGTTATGGGAAAGCAAAGTAAGGAAAGGAAAGAGCAAGAGAGGGGTAGGGGAAGGGGAGGGGAGGGAAGAGGAGGCCGCCGGAAAACCCCTTCCTCAGCGCCGGCAGCCACAAACTCTGAAACCCTAGGTGGAAAAAAGTTTAGAGAGAGGAAGCAAAGCAAAAAATTGTGCAATTGCATCTCAACTCATTCATTTTCATAGCTTTGAAATAATGTTTATTATGGCTATATTTTGGAAACTATTATATTGTTTTGAGAAAACAATTATTGATCTTAAAATATTTTGGGGGAAATACGTTTAGTAAGTCCAGATAATATTGTTTAAGCTAGCTTTAGTGTTTAGAGTGAAAGACCGAAAACACGCGCAGATGAGGTATCACGTGTTTTCGGTTAAGAGTTGGTAAAGTGGATGATTGGTAGTGCTTATTATGCCTACTTGCAAACACCAGTCTAGGGATTACCTAAGTCGTATTTGTCACCCCGTATTTAAATTTGGAATTTATTGAGATAATGAAGTGTCTTTAAAAGATTATTGCATATGATTTTCAAAAGAATAAAACTTGTGATTTTGGAGCATGGCGTGGTATTGTATTCATGTATATATAAGATTACTTAAATATATATACTTTTTAAAGATATCTCTACTGGGTTTTGTGCTCACCCCTAATAGATTTGTGTAGAAAATAATGTGGTAATCCCGCCTAATTAAGAGCGTGGGAAGTCTTTGGAGAGCATGAGACTCTTTCTTTATGTTAGTTTTTTTGGCAAGCCAAGGGCTTTACTTGTATGGGTTCGATAACCACCTTTTGCGTAACCATACATAAGCCTTGGAATTTGTAGCCCCTGAAGCATTCTTTTGTTGTTATTTTCTTCATTTTAATTGTCTCGCATGCTAAGGATTCAAACTTTAAGAGGATTGAACATATATTACATGTGGACCTTCTTGTAAATCTCTCACATAAATGGAATACAAATATAGAGATTTAATCACTTGAGTTAAGTTTAATATGATTGAATGAATTGATTAGACCGATCTTTATGTCAATTATTTAGAGGGTTACATTGTCATTAAAACCTCACACAATCACTTGATTTTGGTTTGATGAAATTGAGTTAGGACATTGTCGATTATCGTGTGACAGAAATTTTACTTACGGTAATATAACTCATGAAGACAATAATACTACAAGCACATTTGGTCATCAGCAATTCTATGAAGAGACAACAAAAGCATAAATTGAAAAGATCACATTTAAAACTGAATGCTGCCCCAAACCCAAATGTAGGAGTCAAGTTAATTGGGAGATTGAGCTTGTTCTCTGGCTTTAAGCATCTTGATTATCTCCGTCATCTGCTCAATCTTTGGGACAACATCTTTCATTGCCTCATTTGAAAGAAACCTATGAACCCATCCAACCAGATTAGGCATCTTGGTTTCATCAAGAAGCTTCAAATCATGTGTCTTCTCTGCAAATTTAAGCCATCTCGCAAACCATCCTACGGCTATGTCAAGGTATCCAATGCTATCCTCGCCAAAGAAGGCCTTTCCTTTGCTACACTTGACAAAAGCTTCCTCTAACAACACCAATCCTTCCACCACTCGTTCAACCGCTGCCAATTTCGTGTGATGTCCTTCTGCCTTTCGAATCTCCCTCATTGATGGAAACCACTACAACCATTGCAATATTATGATCACTTATATAATGCTGACACTTCAAATATTTTTTTTGATATAATGTTTTGTCTATACAGCATTGTTGATGTAGACACTTGATAACAGTCCAATTCTTGGAGCAGCTTGATCTTCAAGTGACAAAATAGTAATTTTGAATTCAGCTCAATTTTGAGAGATTTGCTCTTAAAAGCCCATGTTGGATTGGAAATGGCTTAACAATTAAATTAGTGAGTCCAAGCGAATTTTATTGTTCAAGCTTCCAAATATTCTAATTTTTCCATTTTAGGAAAAAAATTGTCTTGTTTATAACTTTTTACTATTTTTTTATTCTTTTAGTGTCCTTTGTTTTGGCACTTTTCTTTTTCTTTATGGAATCTAAATTTGTGCTTCGATCAAATTCTCTCTTTAATAGAAATTTTCTAATTTTAATTGAATTATACGTAATTAGCAACCAACTGCCTTAACTAATTACTTTCTAGGGCACTCAGAAGTCTATTTTTTAAACTTTTGGGTAAAAAAGACAATTGATCTATGCCAAAAAAAAAGAGTCTTGCTATTAACACCCCATCTATTATTTTGGATCCGTCATTTTTCATAAATTTTAGAACTCTTAAAATTTCTTTTCTCCCCCCAAAATTATCTTTGTGAAAATATTTCACCTATTCAATTGAATGCGCACCCTCAAACCCAAAAAGCCTCTCTCCCAAAAAAACCATAACAAAACCACGAAGGTGATTACTACTTCATCTCCACATACTTGTTTAAGACTTGAGAAAATAAATGTAGGTTTTTTGTTGTTGATTCAAAATTTTTCTTTTGTGGGTTCTGCAATCTCCACGAGTTTCAATTATCTGTTCCCAAAAAAATAAGAAATGTTCGGTGACCTGTTTCCAAACAAATGAACAAAGTTTGGGTCTGTATTCCCAAATTTTGGTCATATGTTAGGGTGTTCAGTCCAGAAAAAATGACGAATGATTTTATTATTTTTGCCATTTTTTTTTTCAAGAAACTTACCCTTACAAGGCCAATCTCCTCTGAGCTAAGAACACCATCAAAGTTATGAACCTCCTCTAAGCTTTTGTTGTTGTAGTCCTCTCATCTCATGGAGTTGTGGTTACCGAAAAAACTTTCACTCATTGTCATTGCCGAAGAAGTGTAGGTAACCAAATGGTTGCCATCGTTACCGCTAAAATATTTCCGTCAAAGGATTTTTAAGATTTTGAGGATGGGTAGGTTTTGAAGGTGGGATTTAGGGAAGATGGATGGTTGGTGATGGAGGTGGATGCTCTCATAAGCCCTAACTTATAATGTAGTGGGTGTGTGGGCTGAATTGTGAGATGGGGTATCCTAAAATTATTGATATCCTTTTTAATAATTTCATTTGAGGTTATTATTATAATAAATAAATAATAAAAAAAAGGAAAAAATGAGAGGTCCAAAATAATTGATGGGTTGATAATAGCAGCCCTAAAAATAAAAACCTATAAAATTAAAAAAAAATTACCTATCTGTCCAAATATCACCTATTTATGCATGTATCACATATCTATTCACTTATCCATCCAACGTCAGCTACTTGTCTATGTCAACGGCACCAGCTGCCATTGCCGGCCACCCACGCCGACAACTTTTCTGACGACTTTGAACACGTATTCTTATCATCAAAACGTATTTAAACCTCACCAATTAACCTTACTTTCTAATAGGTCTTTACTTTTATTGTTGATGTAAATCTAAACCCTAGGGGCTAAAAAGTTTTCCAAGAATAACATGGATATGAGAGAGTTCCTTCACAATAAAAAATTAAGGTTTTAAAAACCAAAATTTAGAGATAAAATTATTTTTTAGAGACTAAATATTTTTGTTGCGAAAAATGTCGTCACCATATTTTTAGTAACAAAGATTGGACATTAGTGATGAATTATTATCATTTTGGGACCAAAGTTTTGTCTCAAAAAATAAATCATTTTGAGATTAAATTATTTTGTCCCTAAAAGTCTATTTATTAGTAACATTTTCAAAATTTTGTCACTAAAAGCCTTGTTTTTGACTTTTCGGGACAACCTTTTAGCGACTATCCCCACGACGATAAAAATTGGTCTCTAAATGTCTTTTGCAACAAAATTTTCACTTTTAAAGACCAAAAAATTTGGTCTCTAAAACTCTTATATGTTATAGTGCTTTCTGGATTGAGTATTTCTCAAATTTAAAATTTTAAACTTGAGAGAATTATTAGGGCACCATAGGTTCCATTTCCATAATCCAAATCATTCATTTTGTATCATCATTTAAAAAATTAGGTTGATTCGATAATCATAGCATTTTTCATGTTATTGCGTTTATCTCTAAAAAAAATGAAAGATTTATTTTTAAAAACACATTTGTTATCTATTTTTTTTAAGACAAATGTGACAAAATAAAAATATTACGATTATCAAATCGATTTAATCTTTTTCACGGATAAAATGCATAGAGACCAAGGATGGATCCAAAATTATCACTATGAGGATGTGAAAGTGTCTTTAGGGGTGTCAATTGTTATAATTTAAATTTTTTTAATATAATATATGATATTTTTTAATTTTTTAAGGATGTGGTTGCCCCCTCTACCCTGCCCCTAGATCCATCCTTGTGAAGGGCCCTACAAAATAAACTATTTTGACCATCAAAACAGAACTTGCGATGAACCCACGATAAGAAGCACGGGCCAAACAATTCTCTCAAGTTCAAAAGTCAATTCTCTATCTTTTGTTCCGATCTTTCTGATACTTCTTTGTGAGCCAATACAATTTTAGAAAGTTGTACTGTTGAAATTTGTAGCAATTTACAAGTCGAAGTGAAGCCGAGGTTATAGTTTGCACACCTATAGCAATCTACAGGTTGATCCAACCAAAGAAGAAGCTAAACACTTGTTGAAATTTGTAGCAATTTACAAGATAATGTTAAGCCGACATATGATCATCTGTTGAAATTTGCAGCAATTTACAGGTTGAGGTAAAAGCTAAATATATTGTTTAAACACTTGTTGAAATTCGTAGCAATTTACAAATAGATTATTGTTTAACACTTGTTATGTTAATCCTTGTTGAAATTTGTAGCAATTTACAAGTAGGCTAGACCGAGATCACCGTTTAAACACTTGTTGAAACTTGAGAAAAAGTTTGCAAAGTTAACATTGAGTAGTATATGTTTCACACTTGTTAGAAATTATGAAAAGTTTGCAGGTCTGTATCTTGCCGAAGTAAAGGTTTTAATACCCGAGGTATGTAACCTCGAGAAGATTGCACAAAGATGGCAAAGTATGAAAGGCATACAAAATATTCTAAGTATAGAATCATGCAAGAGCAGTTAGAAGAAGATTAAAACAGAATTCGTCATGCTTGACACGCCTTCACCTTACAACATCATCTTGGGAAGGCCATGGTTGCATGCAATAGGGGCAGTTCCCTCAACGTTGCATCAACTATTGCGGTTCCCTACAGAACATGGGATTGAAGAAGTCAGAGGAGACCAACTACAGGTAAAGAATTGCTCCATGGCAGCAATGAAAACTACCTGCAACATTCGAGGAACCAGGGAAGACAGAGATTGAAGACGAGGACATGGAGGTCCTAGATGATGTCGGCAAGGAGCCAGCCAAAAAGAGTAAAGAGACACTGAAGAAAATCCTCGTCCAGCGAGGGCGACGAAGAGCGCTTCATTCAGAGAAGGAAAGTTGAATTAGACATTTTCAAGAACAAGGAGGCACATCGGCCATATGCAGAGCTTACATTATCTAAAGAACAAAAAGGTACAAGAGTACAAGCGACAAAAAAAGGAAAAACTTCAAAAACTGAGATGATGCTTAACCGAATTTAAGCCGAGATGATGTCTAACCGAAGTTAAACTGAGGTGATGTTTAACTGAAGTTAAACTGAGATGATACCTTAACCGAAGTTAAACCAACATGATGTTTAACACTTGTTGAAATTCTGAGAGAATTTACAAGTTAAAGAGTGCACAAAGTTAAATGTCGGCAAAAAGATTCGCCAGAGTCAAACGTCGTTTTGATTAGAACCACTAAGTGCACGCCAGAAGTGGTGACCAGAATTGAAAGGAATAAATGCTTCAAGAAACAGCGATGATAGTTTGCAAAGGCCAAGAGAAAGAGGGTCTAAAGGGAGTGAATTAAATACCAGAAGTTTTAATACATCGGCGAAAGAAGAACACATCAGGTCTGTGACTACAGCACGAAGCCCACTTCCCTGAATGTGATCCTAAGTACAACTTACGTTCACATTAGGGGGCAGGGAGAAGGTGTAGGGGGAAGGAATGATAATTAAGGAGCAAGGAATGTTAACACTTGTTGAAACTTTTGAGCAAATTACAAAATGAGTTAACCGAAGATTATGAAGTCTACCACTTGTTGAAAATTGTAGCAATTTACAAATTTGGTATAGCCGAGATAAACACTGAAAGACGTTTCCGAGATATGATCAACCGAGATGACCAACTAGCTTGTTAAGAGCTGAAGGTTGGCAAGTATAAAAAAATGAAACGACCTTAAAGAACTAGGGACTGAAAGCAAGAACGTCGGACTAATCCGCTTCGACGAACGACAATGGTTCAGCCTCGCACAGTCAGTTGGAGGAGCTTCTCTACCGCTACCTCGGCATCAATTTCAAAGAAGAAGCAAACTACTCGGCATCAGCGGTAGGTTGTGTCTCACCCCCAGAAGACAGTTGGAAAGAACTTTCAGCAGCCTTCTCAGCCACGAGCTCAAGCATCAACCTCCTGAAGAGTTTGATCAAAGCCTCTTCATTGCGATTGGAGGAGTTTGAAGGCAAAGATTGAAAACAAGAATCTGGAAAAAGACACAGAAAACAGAAACAAAGAATGTAATTCGTAATCAAGAATGGTGATGAAGCTACCAAGAAATCAAGACAAAAAGATTGCACAAGTGTGTCAAGCCAAGAACAGTGATACAAATCAACAGATGTGTGAACAGTGTGTATTCAAGAAGATGATTTGGAAATAACGGGTTAAAACAACAATGGTAATTAAACAATGAAGCAAGCTTCTTGGAAAGCAACAAGAAATAAAACCAGGAAGGAACAGTGGGCTTACCAGAAAGAGGGAAGCCGGAATGAGATTTGCCGAAGTCTGACGACAATGACAGAATGACGTAAAGCTTCACCGGAAGAGAGAAACGAAGACAGTTGCAGAAGCTTGAAAGCTTGGAACAAATGACGGATTTAAGCAAAAAGAGCTAGAAAGAGAAGAAGCCAGAGGATTAAATGAGAAAAAGGAAATAGTCAAGAAGACAACAAAGTTCATGAATAAAGCCAAGTACACAAGCACTAAGTAAGTATGTGGAGAACAAAGAAAGTAATGACTCAAACATGATGCTAGCAACAGAAAGCGGATATGACAAGAACAGTGCCAGGTATTCAAAACAATTCAAAACTTGAAGACAGACGAAAATAGAAGGCAACAGATGGCAAAATAAACAGATTCAAAGTAAATCAGAAGAGTTATGAAAGATTTGAGCTTAATAGCAAGTAAAGAGTTTATGAACCTACAAAGTAAAAATGAACGCCGATATGAAGATCGCCGGAGTCAAATAGATGACTGGAAGTCAGGAACCCACCGAATAATATGAGTGGAGCAGTTGTAAAGCTCTTGGAGTTTACGAATTAATGAAACAAGAACCTCGGCTAGGAGTGCGATTTCAAGCAGCTTGGAAAGCATGAAACTTGATTCTTGACACCAGTGGACAGTAAAGTCCAGGGAACTTTGAGGTCGGCAAGTTTGATCTCGGACAGAGGGGCACAGATGAATGAACAGTGTAGGTTCCATCACCTCAGAATGCCGAGGGTAATAGAACCTAGGGGCAGTTGTGGGGATATATTTTCTGAGTACCAACACGTGGCAAGGTGACGCCGGACGTGTCAAGCCGAGGTGCCACGTGTCCTGGTCGTGATGCCGAGGTGATCTCGGTAAGGCCGAGGTTATCTCCGAAGATATCGGAAACCGAGATAAGCGGATAAGGGACAAGAGTCCTAGAATGAAGAGGGAACTCAACTTGGATATGGACAAGAGTCCTAGATTGGGAGAAGACTTCAGTTTGGGTAAAGATAAGACTCTTAGAGAGTTTATCCTAATCTCACTGGGAGTCCCAGATTAGCAGTAATCCTAAGTCCATTAGGGCCAAGTTCCTATTGGGACTAGGATTGTATTGGCTATAAAAGAGAGGCACCCCCATGGGTCTAAGGTACGCTTTTTGATACTCAAGCTTGTGAGTTTAGTACTTGATTTATCTTTGAGAGATATACTAACTTGATCATCGGAGTGCCCCCGGGTGGTCGAAACCACCGCGGGATTCTTATATTTCTGTTGCAGGTCAGTCAGGTGCCATCTATTCTGCCAGTGCTCTCCAGCTGGTTACTAAGCGGGTAGTGTGGTCGAAAAATCACCCACACAAAAACTTGATGCTATAATTTCTGTATGATCTGGAGTAATGCACAAATTATATATTCTGGGTTGAATTTTCTGTTAACGTTGAGGAGTCTGTTATATATACATATATATTAGTCTTGTTTGTTTGAGTTTGTTTCTTTCCAAACGTTTAAAAAAAATGCTTTGGTGGAACGTTACAGTGGACCACCTTTATTTGTTTGTTTGATTTGGTGCACTTTGTTTATGGTTTGACCAATTAAAACACTTTAGTGTGTGTTTTAACTTTTGGTCTATGGTGCTTCAGGTTCTCATATATTACTATATTGCTTGAATCTGTTTGTTTGTTAAGTGTAACAAAACATAAGAAGTTTATTTTTATATTTATAATTTGTGGTGTGTTCTGCATGTATCACTACTATTTTGTCATTTATTTTGGCTATTGATTTTTTGGATTTTGTAATTTAATCTCTAATTTGAGTTAGTTATTGAGAAAATATATTTTATTTATTATGAAAAGATTTGTTTTTGTTATTTTATTTTGATCAGAAAGTTAAAGTTAAAGTTTAAATGGCAATTGAGACTGTAAACAGTGCTGGGAATACAAACCCGACATCTGCATCTGTCATCATTCCTACTCCTATGGTTACTTCACTTCCCACCACTGTCCTGGTTAACCACAATGAAAAGCCGAAAAAATTTAATGGGACAGAGTTTAAGAGATGGCAACAAAAAATGCTATTTTATCTTACAACTCTGAATTTGGCAAGATTTGTTAAAGAGAATGCACACGCCTTGAGCGAGGACGAAACTGATCGGCAAGCAATTGCTGCAGTTGAGGCGTGGAAGCATTCTGATTTTTTGTGCCGAAACTATATTTTGAATGGATTGGACAACACATTGTATAACGTGTATAGTCCATTACAAACGGCTAGAGAATTGTGGGAATCCTTGGACAAGAAGTACAAAACAGAAGATGCGGGAATCAAGAAATATGTAGTTGGTCGTTTTCTTGAATACATGATGGTGGACTCGAAGACCGTAATTAGTCAAGTCCAAGAGATTCAACTGATTTTACATGAAATTCATGCAGAGGGCATGAGTTTGAGCGAATCTTTCCAAGTGGCAGCAATCATTGAGAAACTACCACCGTCTTGGAAAGAGTTCAAGAACTATCTGAAGCACAAATGTAAGGAAATGAAGTTAGAGGACTTGATTGTTCGGTTATGGATTGAGGAAGATAACCGCAAGGCGGAAAAGAAAAGAAATCCGGGATTTGTTTTCAAAGCCAAGGCTAACATATTGGAGCATGGACAAAAAGAGAAAAAGAGACAGCGTCCTAAGCAAAACTCTAAACAAACTGTTGGTCAGAGTTTTACGATTGGATCTATAAAGTTCAAAGGAAGGTGCTTTGTGTGCAACAAGGAAGGACATCGGGCCAAAGACTGTCGGAATCGCAAAGATCAACAAGGTCATTCCAAAAAGACAAAGTATGAACAGGCACACATAACTGAATTGGAGACTTTGTCTGATGGAGTGACTGAGATGAACTTGGCAGCAATTGTGTCTGAGGTAAATCTGATGGGGTTAAATTCCAAGAAATGGTGGGTAGACACCGGGGCAACACGACATGTGTGTGCAGATAAGAAAATGTTTACTACCTATCAACAAGTTAAGGATGAAGAGCAGCTTTTCATGGGAAACTCCTCTACTGCAAAAGTTGAAGGACAAGGGAAGATTGTGCTCAAAATGACTTCGGACAAGGAGTTGACGCTTAACAATGTTTTGCATGTTCCAGAAATTCGAAAGAACTTGGTGTCTGGATCATTGTTAAGCAAGAATGGTTTTAAATTGGTTTTTGCTTCTGATAAATTTGTTCTGTGTAAGGATGGTGTTTATGTAGGGAAGGGATACCTATGTGACGGGTTGTTCAAAATGAATGTACTGACTGTAATTCCTACTATTAATAAGAACTCCACATCTTCTGCTTATTTGTTTGAGTCTTCTCATGTTTGGCATGGTAGATTAGGACATGTTAACTATGATTCATTGCGTAGATTAATTCACTTGGACTATCTACCTAATTTTACTATTGACTCAAATCATAAATGTGAAATATGTGTTGAGGCTAAATTTACTAAGGCACCATTTAATTCAGTTGAAAGAAGT